CCAGCAGATCAACATCCCACCCAAACTACTGCCATCCACACACCAAGGTGCCCTCGATGCCAGATCATGGATAAAGACATCACACAGGGCTGTCTGTCCCTGATGTGGCACGTGTCCATCCACCACCTGGGTACAGCCCAGCTCCCCCAGCCAGGTGTGAACCCCCAGGAGCTCACCTGCCCCGAGGCTTTACTGGAGCCTTTCCCTCACCCCTGATCCCCATCCCGGCTGCAGGGCAGTGAGGAGCCCCCCTGAAGGGAACCCTGAGGGGATGAAGGGGTGACTCTGACTGAGCTGACCTGGGCTCGTGTCCAGCCAGGCTTTGGGACAGGAAGGAAAGGAGGGAACGGGCAGGTGGCGTTCCAGGACGGGCTATCAGCACCGGGATCTTCCCGGGAGGAAGGCTCCACCCTGGGGCCATGAAGGGCGAGCAGCAAAGCACCACGGAGCAGAGATTTCACCAACAATAAGCCACAACTTTATTAACCGATAGAAATAGTACAAATTTTAAATTTAGACGTATTTTACTCTTCTCTCTGAAACACCAAAAAAGGCTCCTCCCTCCGGCGGCTACATCGTCAGTTCCTGTGGGGAGAAAGGGAGTCAGGAGCCAGCCCAGAGCCAGCAGCCCCCCCCCAGGGACCCCCCAAAGCTGCTGCCCCCCAGCACTCACCATTATCGCGTTTACAATGTCGTTACTGTTGTTCTTGAGGGCTCGCACGGCCTTCGCCCGCGACACGTTCGCCTGCGACATCACCAGCTCGATGTCTTTCACCTCCACGCCGGTTTCGTCAACCTGGAGGAGAAACAGAGCCCAGGATTGGTGCCAGTTCCAAGCTTGGCACGGGCTGGGATTGGACTGGAAGCCAGGAGGCCAGGCCTGCACTGGCAACAAGGTCAGGGTAGGACTCTGTGCTCTCCCTCTGCACGGATGAAGGAGAGGAATTTATGGATGAACCCAAAGCACGGCCCCACTGAGAGGCTGGGGAAGGCCTTACCTCCTCTTCCTCACTCTCCTCCTGCACGGTGGGGGTCTGTGTGTTTTCCTGGATGTTGGAAACAGGTTCTCCTTGCACTTTGAACTTTTCGGCAGCTGCCAGCTGAGCCTGCTGGGACAGGTCTTCGATCTGCAGGAGGGAAGGGAAGGAAAGGAGCAGTGAGGCCAGTCCTGGGCAGTGCCAGCACGCTCCCTGGCAGGAGCCACACGGTGCACAGGTGACAGGAAGGAACCCTGCCCTGCTGGCGCCAGGGTGGGCTCACCTTGGCCTCGCCAAAGACGATGTAGGTGTCTGACGCCGGGCTCTTGTACACGTCTGGCTTTGTGATGACAAAGAGGATGTTCTTGGATTTCCGGATGGTGACTCTGGTGACTCCTGTCACCTGGCGAAGGCCCAGCTTGGACATTGCCTGAAAAACACCAGGGAAAGGTCAGTGAGGGAAGAAGAGCTCTGGGGCCAGCCCAGATGTGCCAACTCCTCTCTCCAAAATCCCACATTTGCTGCATGGATACACACGGAAATGCGCATCTGCCACCACGGAGCAGCACCCCCGGGCTGCCAGCTGCAGGGAACACTCCAATCCAGGCCTGGTGAGATCCCCAGCGTGACTCTGAGCCCTGGGGCTGCTCACCAGGGACAGGTGCAGCCTCACCTTGCGAGCTTTCTTCTCGCTCCGGCTCTGTTTTGCTTTGCTGACGGGTTCTTCGTCTATTTCGGCTGCTGCCGCGAGCTGCAGGGAGGGAAAACCAGAGGGATCCGTGACAATGCTGGGTGACACCACAGGGA